CTTAACATTTTGTTTTTATTTCCAAAAAAGATCATCGAAGGTCTAATCTTTACTCTGTAGTCTTTAAAGGAAATCCCTCAGTTTAACACAAGCGTTTTTTGACCAAATTTATGAACATGTCGAAAGTGAAAATGAGACATGTTCCTTCGCTGGGGGTACCCAACGGCATGGACCCCCCCCCCCCCCCCCCCCCCCCCCCCCCCCCCCCCCCCCGGTGTATGCATTTAATGTACTTGTTGGAGTGTGGGCAAAATGAGAATAAAACCAGCCAACTCTGATTCGATCACAGTGCCTTGGAGTGAATCACTTCAATCCAGTTGGCAGGGGCTGGCTCCAGCTGACACTGCTAGAGGCACACACCTGAGTCCAGATGAGTCCAAAATGTGTGGAGTACATTGTTGAACATGTGCATGTAATGTTCTGGTACTTGTTGGAGTGGGCAAGATGAGAATGTACGGTAGCTATTTCATTTCTGAAATAAAAACCACTCAACTCTGACATGTCTGATTCTCAGTGCCTTTGAGGGAACAGCCAGTTGGCACCAGCTGGCTCTGGCTCAGACTGCCCTAGGCACACACTAGAAGCCTGGTGTGTCCAAAACATGTGTGTGGTTCATTGTTGGCCACGTAAATGTAGGCCTAATTGTTGGGGTAGGCAAAATGGCAATGTACTGTAGCTACTCAATTTTTGATATAAACCCAGTCAACTCTGATTGCCTATGAGGGAACCGCTTCTGGCCTGTTTGCTCCGGCTGGCAGTGGCTGGCTCTGGCTGACACGTACCGCTCGAGGCACAAACCTGAGGACAGGCACATGAATGTCCAGAAGGTGCACGGCACCTTGTTGTCCACGTGCATGTACATGTAATGTACTTGTTGGAGTGTGTAAGATGAGAATGTAGTTGTTCCAATTGACACGCATCTCGAGGCGTGCCACACCACTTTGCGTACCACTTCAGCATTTGCTTCCCACATGGGTGCTAGCTAATACTTGAGAGAAACACGATCCTGCCACTTGCCCCGGGCAAAATTTATTTGCCCTTCTGGAGCTGTGAACTTTCGGCTGGCTTTTTCTAGGCATGACACTCACATGAACATAATTAAGTCCATGAGCACATACAACATTCTAGCTCCAGGGATATAGGCGAGTCCATCACCAGTCCAGTTCAGTTACAAGTAATCCATACGTCAATTCACAAGTCCAGCCACAAGTTTAATAAGGGATGAAAGATAATAATGGAATGTCTTTGTCGCAATATTTTGAACCGTCTGTGACTTGACTTGGAACTGGCTGACTTGTGATTGATTTGTGAGGCCTTTAGAAGATGGACTCAACTGCACGTACACACTTTTTCTTATTAAAAAGTAGGATGAACCATTTGTCAATTGTGCTCCAAATGTTAAGATGGATACTCTGTGAATGCTGTATATTTCGAGAAACACAATATTCTGGATCTTGAGTGAATAATTGCAATTTAGAAAAGGAGATGTAATTTTTCGGGAATAAACTCGAAAATAGCACAGGGAACGCAACTTACACGTAAAATACAATAAAATAATAACAAATAAAACTTAATCATTTTGCAAGCATACCTTTGTACCGGTACTATATGATCAACATTTATCCTATCAGAATGGGGGGGGGGGGGGGGGGGACGACCTAATAGAGTAATTCACTCAATTGAATCACTCCCTTAAACTCTTATCCTACATGTAAACGTGTACATGTACATGTATGTACATGTACATGCCTCTCTTTTATTCCGTACGTGTACATGCACACCCCTCCACTCTTCCTCCGAAAAAAAAGGAAGAAAAAAATGTTTGAAATCCAGCTATGAATATTCCTCTCGGGGCCTAACCCTGTCAATAATTCCACCGTGAGTAAACAATTGGGGCCGTTATAAACAACTGACTTTGGTTGTGCGACGGGGGCAAATACTCCACGGCAAACTGCGCAGGGAGGCTCCAGGGGAACGGACTGAGCGTGCTTAAAAGAGTCTCGAGTTTCAGTCCTCAGAGGAGACTCCAGAAACGATTTTTTTCGGGGGGGGGGGGGAGGTAAAAAGATGCCTTCTGCCGGTATTAGGGTTACCTGCTTTGGCGGCATGCTGGCGCCTGAACCCTTGCTCCAATTCGTTCTTCTTCTTTTTGCAACCAAGTACTGAAAAAAATATGTTACAAGGTCTGGGGTTGTTTTAAAAGGTTATTCAAAGGCAATATGGAAGCAACTCCAACTTGCACACTATTTTGGGCGCGTGTTTAGAGTGTAGAGCTTTGGTCTTCAAACCCTCTTTTTTATAGGGCTCTCTCACGAACCAGCCTACATTTACATCCGGGTACAAGAAAGTCAGAAATGCCATTGTAGTAGGCAAAGATTGTATAGTGCACCGTGCAGTATGTGTAGGTAGTAGGCAAGCCATCAAAGCTGTGTTGGATACATGTAGCAAAAACTGAGAAAAAAATGCAGAGCCAACACCCAGTACATGGACGGCATGATTATGACAACCGTACACGGCACAGGTAGTGACCATTATGCCACTTGATAAGGAATTTGCAGTTATTTAAACCTAACTCCCTGGGCCTTTTTGCCAGGATGTAGTCTCAATCCTGCAAAATCCTCCAATTGGCCTCATGGAAAAATAGCATAGCCTCAATCCTGTAAATTCCTCCATTATTTCTTTAATTAGGTCCGTGGAGGGGTGACTACTGCCTGAACCCTGCAAAATCCTGCGGCAGTGACTGTCAATATGTTGAGGCTTGGGCAGTGACATCCTGGAGCAGTACGGAGGATTTCAAGCATAATCCAGGCCTGTATTTACAATGTATGAATGGCTGATCAAAACCAACACAAGGTCTGGCCTACATGTAAGACCTTGACAAAGTGCATCCTACGAAATCAGTAACGCACTTTTGCCATTTAACCTCAATCCTCCAAATTCCTCCACTTTGGCAAAGAGGATTTTGCAGGATTCTGAGCGGTGAGAGTTAACATGATAATAAGCTACATGTATACTGTCTAATTTACAATGCACGACGTGGTTGATACCAAACACTTGCCTATTGCAATGATGGCCGATCACGGGGCAACCAGATGGTAACACGATCAGAACCTACCGGGTATTACCTGACACATCTTTTTTTTTTTAATTATTTATTTATTTATTTATTTATTTATTTATTTTTAAGGGAATATACAACATTTGCAAACATCAAAAAATATAACTACCAAGTTTTTACGAAATACCTTACTAGGATGTTGGGTAATGACAGTCTAAAGCATCCTGTAAAATTATGGCACCTGGTGTGAAGTCATTTTCAAGAAAATGGTATTTTTGTTTCCAACGCTGGTTGGCCGACCACTGTTGGAAAACCTAACTATTTTTCAACTACTGCTCCAACTTTACACTTTTTTCAGTCCAAATTTTGTTTGCTATTGGTTACATGTTCATGAACGGGTGCAGGCCAGCTGGACTGGTTCCCTTACCTTACAATTTTCCGGCATCTATAAATTTGTCCATTTTATCTTTAGTGAGTCAAGGAACCAGACTACTTGAACATTTTTGTTTTTCTTGGTTTTTCCAGCATTTTCGAACACAAAACTTCAAATATGTCAGTGTAATAATATTGGATCTATTATACTAACCCCTCAAATAGTTCATTTCTGAAAATTACAGCAAAAGCCAATGATGTACATTCCCTTTAAATGTTATTTATCGTATTAAATCAAATCGTACATGTTCGGTACCATGGAGGTAGAATCAATATTTCTTATCACCATTTCTTTGTGGTTCTTTGTGATTCATTACCTAAGAGGATGTTTTTAAAGAGAACTTAAAAAGTGTTCCAGAATCCTCCCAGGACAACTGACGTTTGCATGTTATGGTCAGTGACTATAACTGGTTGCAGAAGAAAAGAAACACTATACCCTAGCAGGCGGGCCACTGCAGATTTATACAGGATCACCTTCTGCACACATGCTGTTGGCATTTAATCATACAACCTGCTTTGATTGATGAGGATTTGGCGTAGTAATGTTGGGAATTTGGAGGGATTGAGTAGTGTTGGCTAGCATCAATTATCTTCAAATTAGGTTTTTGCCCTTCACCGACGTGGAAGATTTGTTGAGCATCTCCAAATTAGTTCCGTTCAAGATGTAACAAATGCCGGTACACGTAGCTCAGTGACCAGGCTGAGTCACTATGCAAGTATTCTGCAAAACAGTTCTTGGAAAATACTGCAAGTCTGCGACATTTTGTAAAAGCTGTCACGACAACTGCTGGCCCCCCAAAAATAAGAAAATTTTGTGAAAATATTTTTGGAGACTATTATGTAGTAGGAGTTTGCAAGTACAAAATGGGAAACAACAAAGTTTCTGAGACGAACCAGTGGTGTTGATGTAACTCAACAGTTCCTCAGATCATGCTGAATGAAGTGTCAACCAAAGGATAAAATTAAACCAATTTTGTTCACATGCATCAGCCACTCTTTCCAGAAAAATTTCTACGACAGACTTCTCATTTTTCCTCAATGACTTTTCCATTCACTCTAACAATTAGCTGTTCCTGGTTTTCCATTATGTGGTGAACCTGGCTTCAAGGGAAGCTTGTCTCTTTCCTAAACAATTTCCGGCGATTCCAATTTGTCCAAAGACTTTTCCGACACACTTCCATTTATAACTGAACTGAAACAATTAGTTCCCGATCTTTTAAGGCAATGACTGTTTTGATTTCCCATAAATATACACGCACTTTATCTGCATCAGTTGCATTTTCCCAATATTTTCCACAAATTTTTCCATTTTTCCCAGTGTTTGTTCCAAACACTTCCCTTCATCGTTTCACTAAAACAACACGTCTTCCTGTTTTTCCCCCATTTCTTCAATTACACCAGGTCTTAAGGCAATGACAGTGTTTGATTTCCCCGATTGGACACTCACTGAATGATTTTTCCCAAAGAGTTTCCATGAATCTTCCCATCATTCCAATAACCTTTTCCTTACCTGTTCCTGGTTTTCCCGTTGTGTTGTGAGCCTGGCTTCGATGCATCGCCGCGTCTCAAGGAAGGCTTGTCGCTGTGCGGCTTCCGTCGGGTAGTGGGTGAAGACCCCAGCCAGGTTGGCGCATATGAAGATGAACACATTGGCAAGTATCTGGGACAACAAAAGACAGAACAGAGGTCCATCACCAGTTATTGCTACTCAGACGCTCATAAAATAAATGTATGTTCAACAAAATAAGGAAAACTGTGCACATGTATCATGCCTGAAAATAAAAATGTCTTCGCTATGTGAAGTTTTTGTGTTTGTTATTGATTGATTAACCGGGGTCTACCGGATGTTCCCCAATACCTATGTTCCCCAATACCGATGTTCCCCAATTCCGATGTTCCCCAAAATCCTTAGGGTTAGGATTAGGGGTAGGGTTAGGGTAAGGATTTCGGGGAACATCGGTATTGGGGAACATACACGTAGGTATGCACCCGATTAACCCGCCTATTCAAACATTCATTCTGCGCCAAGTGGTCCTTGCAGTCAAAATCAATCAAGTGACTGTTCTCAACAGTTAAGAATCCCCAGCCTACAAAAAGCAGGATTGACTGCCTTGAACTGTTTTAGTTACTTGATACAGAGCAACTTTGCCTCTGGGTGAGTGATAAAACAGCTGTGACCACAACTTGCCTGCTTTGTCTGTTGACCCAGTTTGTCTAGTCACAGTGCTTACTTGACATATAATCTGACTGCTGGTGACTAGCCTTTGTTAAAAGTATAGCAGGGAAATAGAAGTGAATTTTGACTGTCTTTGACTCTTTAAACAGAGTACTGTTAAAGTAAACAAACTCAGTATAAGAGACCAACAAAGGCAAACAAAATTTCAAAATAAAACTATTTTCCTACCTACCGGTACGTGTGCCTGCATGTACACTCGGATAATTTTTAGGGCATCACCATGGACACAAACACATTTTCTTCTCGGCCTTACGATAACAATTACGTAGAAAAGTTAATACATTGTCACTTAGATTTGTTTTTCAGAAATTTGCATTCAATCAATTTCAACTGGACTTGTTCGCCATTGAACTATTATTTGCACAACCCCCGCACATCCCATGAGAGTGTGTGGACATAAGGAATAGCCTAAACAATTCATTAACTTACAGGTTTGAAGAGTAACTATTTCTCCATTAATATTATTGAATTTTATATGAATTAGGAAATGAAATGTCTTAAAACAACATGCCAGGCTAGACCAACATTAACATGCATGGCATGTTTTTGTTGGGTGTGGGTGGGTGGGGGGGGGGGGGGGGGGGGGGGGGTCGGTGGGGTGCTTCCAACTACTATTTTGGTTTTCCCTCTCCCCCATCCAAAAAAAGAATTGAATAGAATAACTAATGGCCCTTTTTGAGTTCATGTTTATCCTAACGAAAATGTTGAAATTTAAGGAAAAAGTCAAAAGCTGGTTTTTTTTCCCTTTTTTTTTCAAAAAAAAAAATAATGTGTTTTTTTTTTAAATCAGGCCTGAAAAGGGAATTTTTTTGGTTTTTATGAACCCCTTTCACCCTAAAACCAAGCCTTAAATTTCTTATAAAACTATATGTAAATTATTTATGCATCTGTAAGATTGTCACACTTATGGGAGAAAAAAAATTACCACTGTGAAAATAGCCCCCAAAAATATTCAATTCCTTTTCATCTTGTCCATTTTTAAACGAGGGGGAGGGGGGACTTTTAATTCTCGCCTTATGGCGACCCGTACTTAAAAGGTCATTTTGCTTCACTGGGCGGTCATAATAAGCGCTTCAATCTCAAAATCAAAAATACATTTAATCATTTCTTCATGGTCACAGGGCATTAATTGTATTACTGCCCATTACTGACCCAATCTAATGCTTGTATGGAGAACCGCTGTTCAGGGCGAAAATGCACGTAGCCCATTGTCAATTATTGACTTAAATGTACACATGTGTACATATGAGCGCGTTTTTGCAGCCCTACATGTGTTTGCAACATAATGTATGGGTACCTATACGTGAACGTGCGTGACTACTTCGGAAACCATTTCTGAGGAAAATATCCTCGAGCATCCTTCTATCCATGAAACATATGTTGTCCAAAATGACTGATGATGTCAAGTACGGCAGTATGAAGATGAAATAACAGTCGGACACCGGAATTTTTTTTTTTACGATTTATCATATTTGTCAGTAGTCTTGAGTATCACCCGTTATCCACGGAGCCAAGTCCTGTATAACGTCTGATACCGGTATGTCTAGACATGCAGATATATATATATGCAAGCCACTCGCCAGCCAATCGAGGTTGACTTTACTAAACCATGACGTCATTTCATTCCCAAATCAGGACTACATGTAAATGGTTTGATTGGTCAATTCGAATGCAGTGTTTTGTAATACAACAACAGCCAGGCGCATATCAAGTAGCATGAAACAGAGCACGTGACACAGTTTTTTTTCCATTGTCTATGCCGCACAACTGGTGAATGACCGAAGACCTGATATTAAAAAGCGCCCGCTGATTGGTCAAAATCTAGGAAGTCAAAAGGCAGGGTCTTGCCTAATTAATCAGCGAATCTGCTCACATATCATAGGCCATGGCCTTTGCTATGGTCTATTACATAGACTAATTTGCCACGAGAAAAGCAGTCAAATTGTGACTGTCTAAACGACATAAATTTTTTTTGTGACATAAGAGTAGATGTCCTGAGAAGTGAGTACCGTAACTGCAAAAGTTCAAATACATCTGAGTACATATTGTACCTTTCACTGAAGTTTGGTTTTTTGGCACATTTTATTTTTGTGACGAAATTGGCACTTACAGATCATGTGACCTGCAGTCATGTGACTTTGATAGTTTACACAGATCTGATCAAAACAGTTTCAGTACTCCTTGGTCTAATTTCACCCTCCGTAACCATGGCAACCATTTCCTAATCCAGTTTCTTCAAATTCTGAGAACGTGACAATCATTGAGAGTGCCAACTGTCTCCTGTAAATGGATCACTCCGGAAGCTGGGCTTTGAAACTACACACAACCTGATTACAGATTGCAATCTGTCATTAGGCATGTACACGTATTGTACCCGGTAGCAAGGGACTCCTATGAATACGTGTCATGGTATGGGCAATTGGATTCAAGGGAAGCAAATCTTTTCAAAATCCTACATACGGTACAGGGTGAGTCAAAAAAAGCAGAACCCAAACCCCCAAAAATATATTTCATATTTAAAAAAATATGTAGCACCAAAAATAATAATGACTGGAAAGCCAATTTCATAAGCTACTTTTAGATGAAAAAAATACTGAAATTGCTCAATCCGTTCAAAGAATATCACCATTTAAACGCAACGACCCTAAAACCTTTCTCATCCAAAAAAGCAATTTATTGTGTGTTCTGACTGTTTGGAACAACAAAGAAAATGACACAGAACAACTGTCACCACCTGTAGTGGACAATATCTTTATTAACAACCCCGGTTAGGCAAACAATATAATTTATAAAATCTCCTTTTTTTAAAAGACGGGCCTTCAAAAAGACTTTGTTGAATATTTAAACGTTTAAACTGAGATTTTATCGCTGGTGATGTTTAAAGACAATTGTGACGACAATTCTTGAAATCGAATTTTTTTTTTGGACGAGACAGGTTTTAGGGCCATTATGTTTAAATGGTGATATTCTTTGAACGGATTAACCAATTTCAGTAATTTTTTCATCTAAAATTAGCTTATGAAATTGGCTTTCCAGTCATAATTATGTTTTGTGCTACATATTTTTTTAAACATGAAATATAAATTTCGGGGTTTGGGTTCCACTTTTTTTGACTCACCCTGTATTTTTGGGGCACTGTTAAACACAGCAGAATATCTGGTGCAGTTTCAGAAATGTACTGTACAAAGATTTCAGCATTGATTACTGCTGCTATTTCCAGTGCCATTTTCTTCTATACAAGGACTAATTCGGCTCTGCGCACGCGCTTACCCCCCCCCCCCCACCCCCCCCCCCCCCACCCCCGTACATTAAATACATGTGTAACATACAGACTTCAGTGTGTTTTGGCGAATCTATTCCAAACCAACCTGTTTTGATCAGATTGTTAGTGGTATTTAAATGTGTCTGCCTTTGACACATCAACATTTTACAACACTTTTCAAATCAATGCAGATTATGTACATGTATGCAAATACACGGAACATGGGAAAGGGTAGCGAGTGGCCTAGTGTCCCACATGCCATGAGGGCGAAGGCCGAGTAGTATTATGTGGGATGGAGACGCACTACAATTTCCATGCTCCAAGAGTACGAGTTGGATAACGGACTATTAGTGAGAGCCGAATTATTGGCATTCGAATATTGTGAGGAAATCATTCAATATGTTGGTGGATTTTTTCGTTCATTTGTCTCATTCAAAAGTTAATAACTTTTATATTGCTTGAAAATAGCAATTGAAAAAACAAATTCTATTTTTTAAGGTGAAACTTGAATGCAACTTTAAAATTCATAAGCCTACATGTACATGCACACTGCACAGGTAGATGTAAACCTTGACTATCACGTTTCATATTTGGCTAAGAGGACGTCTCTATCCATAGTTCGTCCATCCAATCCATATTCTATGTTTACTCCCCGTTGTGAGGACGAGGAACAATTTACATTGTCCGGGCGCTGTCCCGCTGTTATTTTTGCCCAAGGTGAGATGCTGTTATGTAGTTCATACATAAATGCATACCTGCCCTTCGTACTCATTCTGTGAAAAGCATATTTTCTCTTCGGCGCAGTGACCATGGTGACCCGCAAAAACCATTAGGGAAATCAAATCACTTACTCATGTAAGTCAGAGGGAAGTATGCATGTACATTAAAAGGCAAACAAATGTTATAATACAGGAGATGCTTTTTTATGAAGAGGGCATACAAAACATTCTCTGTATTCAGAAAGATCTAAAAAAGAAAAGAAAAAAAAGAGCTATGTCTGTTCGAACAGAACATAGAACTTTTTTGCATTTTACTAATGTAAATGTTATGTTTGTCCCTCTGCAGTCACTTTTTAGAGTGCTTGATACATTTAAAGGTTGTTCAAAATGCTTAGAATAAATCCAAAAATAGCCCTAAAGCTTTATCACATGACGCCACA